TATATAGACATGAAAAATGAAGAAAAATATGTCATTGAATATGTCATTAAACATAGAAATATGTCATTAAGCATTTGATAAGATCATGGAGAAAAAGCAGACATCCCCATAATTTAATTTTTCTTATAACAAGAGTAATAATACCAAAGAAGCCTTGAAATTCAGTTATAAAAAGGGAGGCATTCACACATCACCCATTCATTCATTCTGCACCCTCACAATTCACAAGCTCTCACTGACTCTCTTTTTACTCACGCACATCTCACACTCAAAAAGCTAGAAAACAAGTTTCAGATCCGAAATACAACAATCTCAATACAAAAACAGAAGAAAAACAGAAGAAAAATAGTTTAAAAGAGAGATCTCTGCAATTGTTGGAAGCTGCAACTGTTTATCTTCATATTTCTGGGTTTCTAAATATTTTTGGATCACAAAATGCTGTTGATTCTGTTATTCCTGAGTTGCTGAGCTCCATTTCCTAGTTTCAGACCTTTGCCTGGTTTTGTCTAGCTGATTTACTGCATTTAGGCATGTTTTACATTCTGTAACCATCCAGCTTGAATCAATGAATGCAAATCTGGTGTTTTAAATGCTATATCATGTGTTTATTTTGCTCGTTTGTTACTAATGTCCATGATTTCATTTATGTGTGTTGATATTTGCTTTACTAGTATGTGTTGAACATTCTACCTAGCCTCGTTTGTATATGAATGAATTTAAAATCAGCTTACGTGCAGTAGTTTGACTAATTTATGCCTACTGATGCAATGAAGTTCAAATGGTTGAGTTGTGGGTTTGATCACCAGTTGGTCAAATCCATTAAATGAATAGACTAAATCAACGATGTTGGCTCATGTGATTCTGCTGTCTCAGTGTCAAGGAAGCAGTATAACAATTATATCTGTTTTAGAATTGTTTAGACCAGAATTGTAAAGTTAACTACGATTAACACAAGGTTATCTATGTAATAGACTCATTTGAGTTTAAAGTGCCAGTTTCTTCTTGTTAAATGTGTTGATCTATTGCAGGTCTATAGAATTGTTAATTGGTAAATTTTTGCCTTACTTCATTGGACCTGACAACAAGTTGGCCCGCCTGGAAGGGCTTCCTAAGTGACTGAAGGTTCTCGGGCTCTAGTAATAAGAGCCTGCATGACCTTTGTTTGGGCCAATCTTATTGAGCCCATTTTATCGTGATTAATAGCCTGTTTGGCCAAGTTTCTAAAATTAGCTTATTTTGAGAAGTGCTTTTCTCAAAAATATCTTTTAAAAAAGTATTTTCGGTGAGAAGCAGCTTGTGTTTGACTAATTAATTTGAAAAGCACTTTTGAACAGTAATTAGTGTTTGGCCAAACTTTTAAAAACTGCTTCTAAGTATATTTTTCTCAAAAGTGCTTCTCAGAAAAGTGTTTTTGGAGAGAAACTACCTTTTTCTGCTTCTCAAAAACTGCTTCTGCTTCTCCTCAAAAATACTTTTTTTCCTTCCAAAATCTTAGCCAAACACCTCAATATTTGGCCAAAAGTGTTTTCGGCCAAAAAAGCACTTTTGCGCAAAATAAAGCTTGAAGGCTCTAGTGAAGCCAAAATTTCAAGTTTAAACGCCGCACATAATGATTGTGGGCTTGTATTTCACTCAACATTTTTCTAAATGTTAAGATCAATTAAAGACCAGTATGAGCACTGTTTGAATCAAGCTAATTTAATCTCATATACTCATCTTACTCTTATTTATCCTTAGACATCCCCTCTGTTAAATAGCTTCGCGTGATTTAGGGTAGTCACGATGTAATTCTCGCCAACTCTGTAAGATACAGAGTATTGAAATACGTTTCACTATTTGTTAAAACTTAGATAATAAAATCACACACACAAGTTCACAATGCTTTTCCATATTCATGCCTTGCAATAATCTCAAATTAGCTTGGAACAATTTTTGAATATAGTAATTTGCTTTAGGCACGACTAATAACAAATTATCGTGATTATGAGTACGGTTCTCGTGGCATAGTCATGATACGGAAATTCAAATTCAAGTGAAGGCTTGCGTGACTTGACTCCAACTTCAAAGTAATAATAAAACATACAAGTTGTATATCGCGAGTGCATTTCACTTAGCGTGATTTGTGATATGTGTAAAACCGCAAGTGTACAACATCGTAACTTGTGTAAATAATTCCATAAATATTTAAATGGCTAAAATATATAAAATCAAAAGTGGTATAAGGCAAAAACGTGCATAGGTTAAAATATGTAATAATCAGATAATTAAGCCGAGTGCAATTATAAGCGACTGTGCTAAAATCACGGAATCCGGGAGTGCCTCATACCTTCTCCTGGATTAACAGAATTCTTTACCCGGTCTTCTGTGTTTCGCAGACTTAAACAAAGTCAATTTTCCTTGAATTGAGATTTAAAATAAATGGTAACTTAAAACACCGTAATAAATATTTCAAGTGGCGACTCTTAAAATAAAATAAATTAATTTCTTTTCAATAATGTCACTTAAATTGAAAAAACTCCTTTCCCGCAAAAACTAGCTGCGACAACAATGTCAACAACACCTCCTAACGCATGCCCTATTTTACGTCCCACATCCGTCGACACCCAGTGTAAAGGTATATTCCATGCTTGAACCCACATATTGCACACGTTAGATACCGTAGAATCATTCTCCAAACCTGGTTCCCAAGAATGAATATTGATAAGGTAGCGATCATACAACCATAGGTTACCAAAATACACTTTCTCCATCATACTCTTGTTTTTAAATACAAACTGAAAGAAATTCCAGCCTACTTCCTTTATCTGCAATCCTGCTGGATTTCCCCAAGCCAAAAGCATGGAGTTCTTAACACCTTGAAAGTTTGTTTTTTTATCAGAAATCACCTTGCCAAGCAAACTTACTTCACAGTCTTTCATACTTGATTGAATGGTATGAACTTGTATTGATTGAACTCAACGGCTATTACACTGATGATTTTAAAGACGGAATTGGAAAATTACACTGAAATTGCAATAAAACGGAGAAAGAAACAAGGAAAACTAGAAGGAGAAAGATTCTAGAAAAGCTAAGCCAAAAGATAAAACTATCCAAGTTCATATATAACCCTAATAGTCTTTCTAGCTTTCATATTTATACTGGCATCTTGTGACTTTTAGATGCTCCTTCCAATTGCTCCAATACCTCTAACGAATCCTGCAGGCCTTGTGCTTTTTTAGCATTGGGGACCATATACTTATCCAAATATTTAAGAGGGTGTACAGATTGGGTAATACATCTAGGACCGTCCATTGTATGAGGTGGATTTATAACATTTTCATCCTCTTGAAGACGAACCTTGTCCTCAAGGTTCAAGGCAGGGAACCTTTGAACCAAAATTGACTTATCCTCCAGGTGGCGTCCACAACTGGTAAGCCAGCCCACTGGACCAAACATTAGTCGATCTGATGATTACCCCTGGAAATAGTGCGATGTTATAAAATAGTCTCGGGTTGAAGAAAGAAAAAAGCAGACAGATCCAACAGGTCAATAGGAGTTATCTGCTGAGCAGGTTGTCCAATGCATTTGCGCGGGACAGAGACATGGAAAACAGGATGTATGCACAAAGAAGCTGGCATGCCTAATTTATATGCGACCTCTCCAATTCGTTGTGTGATCTGGAATGGACCGAAATATCATCGACTGAGCTTACTGTAGCGATGAAGCCGCAAGGCAAGTTGTCGGTAAGGTCTAAGACAAACATAAACTCTATCACCAACATTAAAGGAAATATCACACCTCCCCTTATCCGCCAAAGCCTTCATGTGATCTTGTGCTTGTTTCAAATTAGCCTTCAAAATAGCTAATGTCTCATCGCGTTCCTTGAAGGTATCAATCACAGCTTGGTTGGTTGAGCTATCAACAATGAATCTGGAGATAGTGGGAGGAGATCTGCCATAGATAACCTCAAATGGAGTAAGTTTAGAACTAGTTTGGAATGAGGTGTTATACCAGAATTCAGCCCATGGGTGAATTTTGAACCACGAAGTAGGAGAATCAGTAGTGAAGCAACGTAGATGCATCTCTAAACATTTGTTGAGTGCTTCAGTTTGACCATCAGATTGGGGATGGTAAGAGAGCTATTTACCAAAGTGGTACCTTGTAATTTGTTAATTTCGAGCCAGAACTCACACAAAAATATAGGGTCGCGATCGGTAATGATCTTATCTGGAAAACCATGCAACCTGATGAATTTTCGAACAAAAAGCTCAGCAACTTTGCGACTCGTGAAATTAGGAGGAAGGCCAATGAAATGGCCATACTTTGAGAGGCGATCCACACTAATTAGTATGGCAGTTTTACCCGTAGAAAGAGGTAACCCCGTGATGAAATCCATAGAGATTTCTTCACAAACAACAGTAGGGAGAGAAATTGGCTGAAGGAGACCAGCAGGCTTCAAAGTCGACTCTTTCATTTGGTGGCATATTTGGCACTCCTGAGCAAAGCGTTTGACATCAAAACGCACCCCTGGCCAAAATAAGTTTTAAGACAGCATGTGGAAAGTTCGAGCAATGCTGGCGTGACCTCCTATTTCGGAAGCATGAAACTCTTAGAGAAGCAACTGACGGAGGGCATCATCCTTAGGGATGACTAGCCTATTACGATAGAGTAGAAGACCCTCCTAAAAAGAAAAATTATGCAGAGAGGTAGGGTCCTGACTAAGTTGTTGTTACAATTGAAGAAGATCAGGAGCTGACTTGTTCAAATGTTTCAATTTATCTATCAATGCGAACTCTAGGACAGCCAATGTGAGAAAATATAAAGAAGGAACACGGGAAAGGGCATCGACTGCTGAATTAAGCTTCCCGAGCCGATAAAGTATATCAGAATCATACCCTATCAACTTGCTCAACCAACGTTGTTGTTCTGGAATCTGTATGACCTGATATGTAAGAGCTTTGAGAGGTTGCTGGTCTGTTATGATCAGAAATGTTCGCCCTAACAAATATTGGCGTCATTTTTTAACCACTTGGGTGATGGAAAACATCTTTATCTGTGGTATGTCGAAGCGACCTGCATCCTTGGAGATAACGTTTAACTAAAAATGCAATAGGATGGCCCTCTTGGGAGAGAACAGATCCAATATCACAACCCGAAGCATTAGTTTCAATAGAGAAATGTTTAGCAAAGTTCGGGAGACGAAGGACACGAACTATGCTTAAAGCCTGTTTCAACTGAGTAAATGTCTTGGTCTCCAAATCAGACCATTTGAAGGCATCTTTCTTTAAGAGATCAGTCAGTGGAGAAGCCAGTAGAGCATAGCCTTTGACGAAATGACGGTAATAGCCGGTGAGTCCCAGAAACCCACGAACATCTTTGACAGAGGTATGGAGGGTCCAAGAATCAATTTCTTTGATCTTAGTAAGGTCAACTTGTAGACCATCTGCCGAAATAATATGCCCTAGATAGTCAATAGAGTTCTGGCCAAATTGGCACTTAAAACGTATGACCACCAGTGAGTTCTGACGCAGGAGATCAAAAACTATAGATAAGTGCTGCAAATACTCCAACCAAGATTGACTTTACATTAAGATGTCGTCAAAAAAGACCAAGAAGAAACGACATAACAGAGGTTTGAAAATATAGTTCATGGTAGCTTAAAAAGTGGAAAGGGCATTAGAAAGGCCTGATGGCAGGCTATAAACCCATTTTTTAATCGTATTTTGCACTCTAAGCACTGCGATTTATTTGTGATTGAGCTTAAATAATGGTGATTTGTGTTTATTACGTGTTTATGCCTTGCAGGAAATGATCCCGAGTTAAAAGGATAATTTGGAGCTAAATCGAACAAGTTGAAACTTTGAAATCCGAGTAAAAGCCCAAAAAATTAAAACGGGATTGGTTCGGGGGTCGAAGACCAAGTCTCAATATCAAAAAGCGAAAGAAACAATTAACTCTGAGAAAAATTCACTGTCGCACTGCCTGGGGCCACGTGGCAGTGCAAATCAGAGCTGGCCTATCAGAAACAAGCCTATGAACTTCTCCAAAGCCACACCCCGTGGGGCGGCGTGCCTTGTGCCACGCCTATGCAAATTTTACAGAGTGTTTTGGCTTGAAAATGGTAGTTTCGTCTAGACCCATTCCTACATGGTATAAATACACCAAAAACACGTTTTAAGGGACTTTTGACCTACAAAAGATTGGAAGAGCATTGGAGTCCGGAAGTGAGTAGAACTTACCCTTTAAGTTTCGGTGGCATCTTCTTGTTACACAAAACACCAGAAGCGAGTCTCCATTTCATCCATCCCGCCCCAATACAATATGTGACATCTTTATAAATCTCCCCATCCCCCTGAATAATAGACCCAAGGTACTTAAAACTCCCTCTCCTAGGGATGACCTGCGAGTTCAGCCTCACCTCCCCTTCCCCTCCTTGAGTCTCGCCACTGAACTCACACTCCAAGTATTCCGTCCTGGTCCTGGTCAACTTGAAACCTTTAGATTCCAGGATCTGCCTCCGTACCTCTAATTGCGCGTTCACACCTTCTCACGTCTCATCAATCAATATAATATCATTTACAAATAGCATGCACCACGACACCTCCCCTTGGATGTGGTACGTCAGTACGTCCATACCAGAGCAAACAAAAAAAGGATGAGTGTCGACCCCTGATGCAACCCCATCATAACCCAAAAATGGTCCGAGTCCCCACCCACCGTCCTCACTTGGGTTTTTACTCAATCATACATGTTCTTAATCAACCTAATGTAGGCAAAAGGTACACCTCTAGCCTCCAAACATCTCCACAAAACCTCCATCGGAACTTTATCGTAGGCCTTTTCTAAGTCGATGAACACCATATGCAAGTGCTTCTTTCTCTCCCTATACTGCTCCATCAATCTCCTAACAAGGTGGATGGCTTCTGTAGTCGAACGCCCCGGCATAAACCCAAACTGGTTCTCAGAATAAAATAATATTAATATTATCAAAATTAATTTTTACTAAAAAATTAAACATAAAAGAATAATGTACAAGTTCTTTGAATGACCAATGCGGATCATTGGTGGCTTATTGTGATGACTTATTGCTGATGTCAATATTCTTGGATTTTGTATGAACTTACAAAGATGAACAATAAGAAATTAATTAGATACATATGATTTTGTTTACTTATTCGATTTTATGATTCAAACATATAATGAAGTGTATTTCATGTATTTATGATGTATGCTTATTTTATCCCTTTTAGTTGTTCTGTCATAACCATAATTCTCATTGTTGATGTTGATATCCCTTTTGAAAATACAAACGTAAAATTGGCCACATGAGTACTGTCATGGGCGGCTTTCCAGCCATGCCCCATGATCCCTTGGACGCGCCCCGTGGCGTCCTGGCCAGCCTCCCAATGCCCGTCGCCACGGTCGGCCCCGTGGTCTCGGCAGCTC